GCTCATTTTCATAGGAGATATACATAGCAAAATCAAAAAACATTTGGTGAAAATGTAATCTTGGTCACAGACTTCGAAGTTCTAAAAATCAGCCTTTTGTACTCATTTTTGTTACTATTTGTGTTTCTGACCACATCAAAATGTTCAAAACTTCCAAGTTTAAGAAAGAAAAATGCCTCGTGGTCAGCCATTCAACATGTCTGTTAACTTTCAACAAATACCGAAAATTTTATGTGGACCCATAAAACTTCTTATTATTCATATGGTGAAACATAACCAGTGTCATATATACATCACATGTGCACATATCACTTTTGCCAAGCAACCATTGTTTCTGTATTTCGTCGTCAGTGACATCACTAAACAATTGAACGTGATGTCAATAAACAGGGCTGCCAGTGCCACACTTGCTTACCGCGTTATACTACATAAACGTACATGAATACAATGGATAATAAAGAAACTATTACATTCGCAAATGTGCCATATGACTTACACAAAATTATGTATGTTCTCGCTCTCGCAATACAAAATTTCACACTTGTTTCGTATAAGTCGTGTAACACACTCTATTTATCCAACTTCCTCCTCTTAAATACAAATTTCACATATTGAATTGACTTTGCTGCAGATTTAGGGCCAAATATCAGGAATTTACACAGACTTTTAACAATGGGAGTCATGGTGACTCACAATATATATTTTTGGGAGTTATTTTCAATATTTGGGAGTCATGAAATCTTTATGTTAATCATTCTCAGTATGTAACTGTGTATGTCACACCACCAAATGAAACTACAGCATAGTTCAATTCAAAAAAGCCAGGATTACTGTCTCCTCTGAGTTCTCTGGAACAATCTGACAGCTCTGTAAAAGTCAAACTATCATCGAACAATATTTTTTTTGCTTATCAAATCGATATTATTGAACTAAAATGTGAGGGCCACCCATAAAACTTGCGTCAAGCTTGACTCGTATGATAATATTTTGACATGGATTAGGTTGAACTGCAATCGTGCAAGCATCATCATAGTCATGATGACCTGGAGTGAGAGAACCTTTCTTCTAGAAGTCTTGTTTCAGATGCAGAACCTCATACACATTTATCAGACACTTCCTACAGTTCTCTTTTGACAAAGAACGTATATTTTCCTGACATTTTTCATATGAGTAATTTGGTGGGAGCCTAACTAGGTTATTGTCTGTTATGAGTGACTACATTTACAGTGCAGCGGTAATCTGCATACTGTTTGAGACTGAACAATGAAAATATTCCGAGAATCATTCAGTTTGCTGTTAGAGATTGAATCAGGTACATAATGGCGTATGGGAAAGCAATTCAACTGTCAACAGTTCCAGGCAATAGCAATGGGCGTTTTACCTATATATTATGAAAATGTTAACATTGAGACGTATGAGCATGTAGAAAATGCAACTGGTATGATTTGTGGAACTGATACTTGAAGCAGCAAGACAAAACAATAAATAGAATGTAAAACATGGTGGATGAATACTGTGCATTGGTTGTCATTGTTTAATGTTAATAAATGGATATTTACATATCCATGAGTGATCACTTCAATATGGAGTGGCATTTTAAGGTCTTCGGTCAGAGATCTATCAATTAAGAGCCAAAGACTTACACTGAACGTAATAAGGCTGTACTGCATTGCTTGTGCAGTAAGCTATTTCCACAAGTGACGTCAGACTTTTCTTCAATTTCTTAGCCCTTCACATCATGTCATGTTCAAGTACAGGTTTTGGAGATGGTGCTTTTTGTTTAACATTACTTGCAATTAGGGCTGCAACGAATACACTATGTGGTGAATATGATACGTATCATGAATTTTGGGTAACAAATATGAATAATTATTCACGAATACAATATTGTAGTTAAGTGATTGATGCACTTTATAGAATGCCCATGTTGACAGTTTTGATTTGTCACAGCAATAACCAGTGATCTCATGACACTCAAATTTGTTATGTAATAGTTATAGTCGACAGTACCATGTGCAGCCTTGGCAAACTAACATGACTTGCACTACTGCAATGCTAGTACATGTTCCATTCTTGCATATCTCACTTTGGAAAAGGACACAAGGGTTCAAGTAAAACATGCTCCCTTAAAAAAAATGTAAATATTCGTTAATATTCGGTTCTGGTGACCACGAATAACGAATTGAATTCAAGAAGGGCTACGGTTCGATGCAGCAAATATGCGAGTGAATCGTTACAGCCTTACTTGCAATTACAACTTAGAAAACCCAAGTTATCTCAATTTTTATTCTATTTTTGCAAAATCAACAGAATCCAAAAAGTGATGATAGTTATCCCATTCGGGTCTTACAAACATCTAAACTGGATAGCTTGCTTCACACATTGAATATATTTAGATTAACAAAGATTTACTAATTTAGTAGCAATATTCATCAATGTACATCAATACATAACCGACTTATACATGATAACACCTTTACTATTACACTGATATCATGATATCTCAGACATCTCTTGTTCTTTGTTCATCTGTAGTTGGAAACAGACATTCAAACCCAAACCATTATTTGAATACATGTAATCAGTATTTATCCTTTTTAAGCCTAAATGGTACTACCAAAGTTATACTGTTGTTGTTTTTGTACTTTTAGGTCCAACAAACTTCACTCCTCTAGACCTCTATGAGGATCCACAGAATTATTCTGGCAGACGAGTTGCCAAATCTCACAAAGCAATCAGTCCTTTTTTGTGTTACTGTGTCTGCTGTACTGTGGGTAAACTATTACTAATTTCATGTGTATCATCTAGAAGAGGGGCTGTGTCTCTCTGGTAGTACTCTCAATCACTGAGCAATCATGGAGCCCTGTATTGGATGTCTATTCCCATGGAGCTTGAAGCCCTTCCTCCAACTGATTACATCCACAAGACACTTCAAGTAACTACAGTTTTTCCTCTGCTCACTCCATGTGATGATCAATTTCTAGCATAATCAATAATGACAGAGAGAGTCAGGTTTATACAATTCTATTTTGTGAGAGGAAAATGTGCAAGGAAAACATGCTTAGAGAGCTGAGTAATGAATTTCGACAGAACCCTTAAGCAGTACATATGCTCATCTTACAGTTGTGTTCTGTACCAACAGAGAAGATCGAGTTTTTTCTATTTTTGTTCAGCAGTATCACACAGAACAGTTGGCAATGATATAGCCACAAGTACGGTGCCTGAGTCTAGAAAGGTCTGCCCATCACCATTCCACACATCAGCAACAACACCTTCACTAATGAGGCTAATGTAATTTCGCAGTAGGTGTGTAGTTGGCACAAAGAGCCTGTTTACCAACTCATTATAACATGTTACAGAAATATACATTGTTGTACACTAACATTTCCATGATAAATAGAGAATCAAACAAAATGTCACAATTAGGAAAACACATGTTCTAGGAATCCAAGTGACTATGAGATACAATTTATACCATTATTTGCAACTTAAAATAACATGGCGATATTTGTTAAGACAGCACTTGGTGACAAAGTGATCTGATGGTTGTAAACGACTGACCACATTACATCTAATCTCCCACCTTTAACCATGTTCGTGGTCGCTGATGCCGCCAACAAGCACAACAGGTCTGTTGACGGAGAAAGCTATATAGTCTAGCAAGAAACGAAGACATTTCCATTCCCCTACGATCGATAATGTCTCTTCCAAAAGACCAGTCTAGGCTTACATGGCTTACTAAGAGAACAATTATTCATGGGGATTTATGCCAATTTACCTCCATAATCAGATCAAAGGGGAAACACTCTCTAGAAGAAGATATATGAATGCACTCACTTCATTATATGTGTGAAGTGGAGGAAGGACTCATTCAGGGCATGGGTCCTTAACAGTGTCTTGATGCAGACAATTCCTGCAAAGAGCAGAGACGCTCTGCCCAACTGAATCTTAAGATGTAAATATATAAAGAGTGTCAGGCCACACCAAATTTGATCTGTTTGTCTATTCCAAAAACAATTTTCTAGCATGTTTCTTTTCAAAAATCTGACATTGAAAAGCCATAAATAGATCCCAATCAGATCACTTTATTTTCCTATTGTTGGTGTATCAGCAATGGAACAGTTACAGGTATGGTTCTTTTGAACATGTTGAACCATGGATGTTGGAGAACGGCACTTCAGCAGCTGAATTATATTCGGCAGTCACTTTTCTGATCTGTCTAAATGAGGGTGTTTATGAAGCTACAAGTGAGAATCTATATGGTTGCAAGGACCACTTTTCACAAGTTATTTGAGTTTCTTCTTGGATGCGAACATTAACACTTAGTTCCTTTTTGCAATACATGGGCACTCAAAGATATTGAGTTGCATACTTTGAAATCAAAGTGTTCCTCCTGGAAGTATCATTTTGATCCTTCAACAAATTGCTTTATCACATTTCACCAAGGCTAGATAAAAAACATTTGCAATTTTTGGAGTTTGCCCCCATTCTTTGCATGGGATTGACAATATCCTTTTCATTTCCAAATACCCAAATCAATTTTGTGATTAAACATGTTGATATTTTCAGCACCGTTTGTGTGTTACTTTTTCGGTCGTTTCACCCGATAAACATTGTCACAAGGTATAGTTATATTTGATTGACTATTAAAGTGTTGTTGATGTGGTCACTAACACAAGAAATTCGAACACTGATGTGACAATTTAATACCTGGTATTCATTTATCAGTACGTTATATCATACATGCAAAACCTATTTTTGCAACAATATTTATAACTGCTGAAGTTGGATGATAACTTCTTAAATCAAGCCATAAGTATTGGAGGAAGAGATACTCGTAGAATATGATACAATCTCTCTGGATATCTACTTGAGGTGAGCTCATAATATGTAAATACCTGTAAAGGAAGAAAAGTCACATGCAGTTATAAAAACCAAATGTGAATCATAAATAAGACTTGCTAGATGTAAGTGTAACAACAGATGCCAAGTGTACTTACCACTTGAGGAAGAATGAATGTCAGGGCTTTTCTTATTGCTGTTCTAAGTTCTGCTACTGTTTTGGCTTCCAGCAAGGGTAGGAATGCTTCCTGTAAACAAACATGGAATCATTGTCACACACACACAAACAAGAACAAGTGAAGTAAACCATCAACACAAGGTACGGTTTGGAATCCCAACTGATAAAACAAATGAATAGTCTCACTGAAAATTGTTGAATGCACATGCATTATCACATGATATTGTATAAGATTGTAGGAATTCTAGTGAATTTGACCATACACATCCAGCCATGTTTCCTTTACATTCCTACATCAGGAAGCTGCTGCGTGCAGTTTTCTGTTATTCAAGTGTTAGTCCATACACCAATACTTCCCTACCATATACAGGCAACAGCTGCTAGTAGAAATTTGTTTTTAACCAAGCATGAAAACAATGGCGACCGGTGAATACATTTGGTGTGTTTAGAATATGTTAGCTGAACCATAACACAAACTTTTGAAACATAAAAGCATTTTAGAAATTGAACTAATATTCCAGCAGTATTACAGAACATATTTTGCAGAAGTGGTAAAATTGTTTAAATAGTATACATGGGCTGCAAACATTTTGAATTCACAGACAACATTTTCACAAATATATTATCACTACTGATCAAGATTTATAAGCAATGAAATCCATATAAAATAAGCATCATAACATTTCACTTGTTCCACAGCATGACTGAAGCAATTACCCTTGTAGATGTTGCATTAGACGTGATGGTACATCGTATTTAGTTTCAGGAGTCCCTTTTCAAAACCCGTGAAGGTATGGGTTAGAATGGGTCTTCAGTAACCGATGTCGTAAGAGGTAACTAACGTGATCGGAACTGGTCAGGCTCGCTGGCATGGTTGACACATGCGATCGGTTCCCAATTGCACAGATCGATGCTCATGATGTTGATCACTGGATTGTCTGGTCCAGACTTGATTATTTACAGACCGCCTCCATATAGCTGGAATATTGCTGAGTCCGGCGTAAAACTAAACACATTCACCCTTTTCAAAATATACTCTTAAAAAATGAAGTAGTGAACTGTGAAAAGAGTTGCAATAATATACTGCAGTCGCTGGTGTAACACAATATTTACCCACAGCTATTTTTTTTCTTCTGTTGTATATTTCAGTTGGTCTGGTAAATGATGTTGTATCAATGCAGTTCTTATTGTGAAAAACATTTGGAAAATTTATGTTACCTCTGAGGTCCTCAGCTTTTTTGAAGAATAAATACTACAACTAGTAGATGATACTTCACTTTTAACATGGATGAGCTAATTAGAAACTGTGAGTAATAAATACATTAGTTATGTCCTTATCCAACTCTTGCCTGAAACTGATTCTAAAGAGTAACTCACTAATGTAATATTTGGTGTACGTGATAGGATGTACTTGAGTCAAGTCTGGACCAGACAATCCAGTGACTTGAGCATTGATTCTAGAAACTGACATGTTAGCTGGATGTTATCAGCCATGTCAACAAACATCATCCCCTTAGTTCAGCGTGCGAAACAGTTTCCAAATTTTGCTTGCTAGTCGGGCTAGCTATGCCTGAAAGTTACAAGCCAACAAAATAATTCCATTGCCCGAAATTTGAATGTAGACACAGCTTTCATCATGAAACTGCTAATTGATGAACATTTTCATCAGGACATAATCTTGCATGATTGAAAGGTGTGTTATAACTTAACAACTTGGAGAGAGTTATATATTTACAAAATGACCCCATGAAAATTCACTAATTCACTAACCAGTCAGGCCAGTTACTGGGGAGACTTATTGGCCCGACAGGAGATTTTTACTAGGTATGGGCTAGCAGACCATTGGCTATTTCACACACTGATAGTTGACTTTTTTTTACATAATTAACTGTAGTTTGCCAGTTTGCTCCTAGCTTATAGTTTTGCTCGGAATCCACTGCATTGAATACATTGATACAGAGCAGGCATGTCAGAGCTTCTTCCTCTTATGCTCATAGGGTATTCATAGGGTCAAGTCTATAAACATGATAAAGCCATCAGTTATAACCAGTAAAGATCTGAGTTAGAAGTGGTCTTCAGCAACCCATGGCCATGTTTATCGTTAGAGGTGACTAACACAATCGTCAGTCAGACTTGCTGACTTTGTGGGTGCACTTCATCGTATCGTAATTGTGTAGATCGAAGCTCTTGACGTTAATCACTGGATTGCATGGTCCAGGCCTGATTATGACCACTGTCACATGGCTGGGATATTGAAGACTGTTACAATAATATCATATCTACCTGGTTCAACTGGGAAATGTTTAATCCAATTTGAGATTTCTTTACAGACATTAACATTCTTGTTCACTATAAATATTTCACATCGACATTAGAAAGTTAATTCTATGACTAACAATTTACTGTCTATATGTTAGTTATTGTGTAAAACAAGTTGATAGTGCTTAATATATCACAATTAATTTATGACTGTTATGAGATGCCTATTACATATTTATTTGTAACTTCACACTCATCTGCAATACATTAATGATGGGCCCGACTTTTATACCGTGAAACAATGATCCATATCTTTTCTTTTTCATACTATAAATGAAAATTAAGTGACATATCAATCAGTAATACAATGAATCTTTCTTGGATTAAGCCAAAAACATAAAACAATCCAGATGACATTAAACAAAAGGTGATAAATTTTCAGTAATTCATTATATATGATAAAGCTCCATTCATAAAGGTGCAACAATAGTCAGAATGAACTTACACACCCAGGTGAATGTGGGAACATAATTACTTATTTACATAATCAATAGGGGGCTATTAATTTCTGCACGACCTCCTTCATTTATGTATACCTGTGAAGATGAGGGTTGTAATTGGTTTTCAGCAACCGAAGCTTACCGTATTATAAGAGGCAACTAACGGGATCAGGTGGTCAGGATTGTTGACATGTGCGATGCATGTCATCATATCCCAGTTGTGTAGATTGATGCTCATCATTCCTGTAACTGCACTTTCTGGTCCAGACACGATTACTGATTGCCATCATACTAGAGTATTGCTGAGTGTGGCGTTAAACAACCAAACAACCAACAAAGAATCACTGAAGTTGTTCTTAATTTTAGCATTTCTTATGATTTGTCATAAAACTAAAACACATACAATTCTGATATCTATATCTGTGATGTAATGGTAATGGAGAACAAAAACATTAAGAAAATATATTGTCCTGAGTTTCAGTGGACATAACACAAGGCAAAACAGAGAAATAGTCCTGTTCTTTATGCATGGGCCTCACTCTTGTCTTGTGATGTCAAAGAGAAAAATCAATCTTCTCCCAATTATGGCTAGTCACTTATCAAAATACAAAAAAGGATAATGTTATCATGGTTATATGTAAGTCAATATTAAACAAAATTTTAACATACACTGGGTGCAGGTTGGTATAAATATGATGTTGCATTTTGCAGTTTCAGATTGCACCAGTGCAAGTTTTAAATGCTTAAAACAATATGATAAATTGATAATCATTATTTAGTTCATACACGAGGCAGTATTGTTTTTTCACACTTTCTAAAAAGATGTTCAGTTAAAAAGTCCCTAACACAGTACTATTATGATAAAAAGTTGCAAAATTCGTTGCTGTTTTTTCTCACGCATAACAAAATCTAGGACAAAAGCACTGTCTTTGTTCCAAGCCAATCTGATATTTCCAGTTACATTTACATCATAAGATTCTAAAATGAATATTGTACATTCCTGCACAATTTTTAGTTGAGGTCCACCGCAGTTCTCACACAACCTGCACATTTTTGATTTCTTGAATCTTTAAAACTTGCATCAGAAAACAACAACATGACATCCAAGGGTTAAGCAATGTTGAGGTGACATATCACATTAACTATAAATAATTAGCAACACCTACATAACATGTGTTAGGGAAGTTCCATTATGATTATGATATCCATGGTCTGTTAATCTGTTTCACTGGAAACCGTTCCATCTAGATTAAGTACAAAGACATTGTTTTTTCCCCCAGTTCTTTTGCAATGTTCTAACAAATACAAATGTATAACAAATACCTTCATAATTTACTCTGTGTGTGTTTGTGTGTGTATGGATTACTATGTATATGGCCCAATATCTGCAGACCGAGTATGAAATTACTTTGAATGGGGGCCCTACTTTGGGAAATGACCCTATCATCTGAGCAATTTGAAAACAATGTTAAATACACAGTAGGCAAACATGGCCATGTGAATCTCCCTGTTTTACCTCCATCAGTGGCTTGACCTAGAACTATGAACTTCCTTGTATCATTATTGTGACGCAGTAAAATCAAAGGGATTTGATGATTCATTTTGTAGTAGTTATGACCAATGGATGTAATATGATAAACAACGTACAAACATACATAACCAAGTCTTTAATTGTCTATAGACCTGGATTTTCTTTACTGCCCAATATCACCAGCCTCTGAGTTACCCAGAGCATGACATATGACTCACACTATCTAAATACATGTAGTCCTTATAAGTCATTGTGTGTCATTTTTACATGTTCTGTCAAGAAGGTGCTGTCAAAAAAGGGATTAGTTATCAAGGTGTTATTATCTACTTCTGTCCACTTTTTCATGTTCATATACAGTTGTCTTTATTTCGTGATTTGGAGATTTCTTGTGCATTTTTTACCGATATATATGTTCTCAAATATTAAGGGTGATCCTTTGGTCCTAGATGTCTGCTTCTATAATATTTCAGTCTAAGCATGCCAGAGGACTTCGCCGGATGCCATATCAATTTTCTGATACACATTTTCATAAGATCTGGAAAATTAACTTTGTTCAAGAATCTCACCTGCACTGCACATACCCTAACTATGAAATTATGCAGGGATGCAGAACATTGAAATTCCTATCATGATCTGATGAAGTACAAAACCTGTTCGTAAAAAGACATACCGTATTTCCCCTAATAAGCGCCCGGGCGCTTATTTTTTCAATGGAGTTCCAGACCTGGTGCTTATAATATTAGAGGCCCGGCACTTTTGCAGCTACTGGGTGTAATTACC